TTGTTTATCATGGAAATACCTTGACCTTTTCACATCCAAATAGACAAGTGCCAAATCTTCCAGCTGTCGATTTTCGTTCTCAGCTGCAAACCAATGACATTACTAAAGCCAACTATCTTTCGGTTTTTCTCAGTTTAGTTTTTCGGGTTTCTTCCGGTAGAAAACTTTCAACGTCACTGTCTGTGAGCAATACGCATCTTTTATTGCTGTTAGCGGCCATACTCCAAAAAAAGGAAAACCTCGACAAATGACATTGGAATGAGAACGATGAACACTTTCCCATTCATTCATCAACCTGAAATAGTAGCAAAAAAGTAGAGTGACTTGTCATCAGCAGCTAAATCACTTAAATCGTAAGTCGTAAATCAGTTTACGAAAGAAGGCCAAATATAAGCTGACAAATAACCAAGTATACGCTTACCACCGAGTTGGCTATGATAATCTCATATTCGGTAAGCCTGATTGGATGAAGTAGCCTAAATCGTTAGTCTTATCGTATTTTACGCAATCTAAAACGAAAATTAGCTTTGCCTCTAAGTTTTAAAAAATCTACAAATTCTGGAATTTCCAATAATATTTGCTCCTTTTTTTCGTCCATTGAGACTGATTGAAACAAAAAAGGATTAACATTTTCTAAAAAGCAGCCTTCCCACCGTCTCATTTGAATATTCGATTCTATGTGGCGTGGTCCAAACAAAGGGGCCAGAAAAATGTCGACGCAGTACGCGAACGATTGATTTTTCCATTTTTTGTTACCTTAACAATAAATAATCATCTGATTTCTGTAGAAAAAAAAACTGTAGTGATAGAATGTGGTTAAGTTGATATGTTTTAATGGCCATTTTACTTGGCTGTTGTATACTGTCGCGAGAGGTTTTTCTACTAAAAAATATAAATTCAACCATGGCTTTATGAACGAGTAAGCATACTAAATACGTAAGATGTTTTTTTCCACTAAAATAAAAATGTCCCCGAGATAGCGGAAAATACCATGGTCTGAGTGACCAAAAAACCAAAGGACATAGGTTTGAAATTAAAGATAACCCACGTGAATAGAAAACACCCATAAATGGGAACCTTACACTGTTTGAGCAGATAAAACCTTCTAAGAAGTTACGGGATGATTACATAAACACAGACATCGAGACTGGCTCGACATAAAATAACATCTTAACTACACAATAGTAATGTAGCAGTACCAACGAATTAATGAATTAAACGCGAAACAAGACTTTATCTAGATCTGTTTTACAACAGCTTTGGAGAGGTTTTCTTAGTTTGACATGGTAATTAGAGTTTAATCTACTGAGTTGATGAAGATGCAAATTGGCCATCGTAAAGAGTTTGTTAATTCAAAACAAATGACGAAGGGCTAACTCTCGAAACGTCAGCTTTTAAAGTGTATATGACACGAAATTTTTTTCTCTTGTTTCTTGTAGTTGGATTTCTATAGAAAACGTTTCGAAGCCTTAAAAGTGCTGTAAAACTCTAAAAAGAATTTTTTTTCTTTTAAAATACCCGCAATTTGCCTTCAAATTTGCCCCGGTCATCGCGCGGCCTAAATCGCACATGACGTCACATTTTGTACCCAGATTATTCAAACTCAATGGAACTTTCAGAAGAGTCGGTCTCAAAGGAATCATAAGAATCACTGAATATCTTTGCCTTTCAATGCACTATCTATCTACTACGAAGTACTGCAGAATCCTTTTAGAGACAACAGACCTTCGCGGCAAAGGTACACAATGTGACGTCACGAATAACTTCGACGGCGATAAACTAAGTCCCAGTCTCAGAGACAAATTTGAAGACAAGTTGCGCGTATTTTGAAAGCAAAAAAAAAGAAAATGCTTTTTACATTTTTCCCAGCACTTTTAAAGCTTCGGAACGTTTCCTATAGATATCTAACTACAAGAAACAAGAGGAAAAAATTTCGAGTCAGAAGCACTTTCAAAATCTTTCCGATGGCCAATTTACATTGTCAACCCAGTTGATAAAACCCCAATGACCTTGTTACTCCTACCGACGAGTGGAGCTTAACTTTAAGACCTCCTACCCTTTATATGCTTCAACTATTTTAAATATTTATATTTCCTCATTTTGAATGAAGGTTGGATTCTACCAAAAGTGATACAAGAATTTGTTTTAGAGAGCTTAATGGAAATTTTACGCCAAATATGCTCTTGACAACTATAACATGGTGTAGGACATCTGACTTAGAGCCTGTTTGGTTTCTTTGGTTGTAAGTCGTAATCGGTCAGGTTACTTGGCCAAGCACTGAAGGGAACCTTGTTTCCTTCTTCGGCCCTCTTTAGGCCCCCAGTGGTATCTCTTATGGCCTTTTCAAGTTTTTCCAAATCAGGAACATCCATTGGGCTGTAGATGCAAAAAAATAAATAATTGTTATCTCATTTTTCTTGAATTCTTTTGAAAGCCAAAAAAAGTTTATACCAGTAACAAACGAATTTGTTTTTGATGAAAAAAAAGGAACACGTATATTTTTACTTACACAACTTCCATTCCAGCATCTTTCATGATCTGCAGCGCCTTTTCGTTGATATTTTCTCCGTCAGGAGTCTTAGGCCATATAAAGTATAGCCTCTTTACTCGGGCCTATATGCAAAAGTAGCAAAGAAAGTGTGGTAGATTAGTCAAACATATTGGAGCTGATCTCACTGTCAACCTCGAGTGAGAGGTGCCCCTGGTAATTGTCATGGATTTTCCAAAGCCAGGCTTTTGCATGTTTGCTGCTTACTTATGGGTCGTTCGGAAGGAAATAGGGAAAGATGACTCTTACGAGACTTGGCGTGGGTGACTGCCGAATGTATTGGGTTAAAACTTCATTATCTGGGTCAGCTTGACTGCCAATAAAGCTTTTCTGAGACCTTAACAATTTAAGGATATTAAGCAAGACAGTTACTTTACAGAAATATCGTACTACTTAAGAAATGGTATTTCCTCATAAAATCACTTCCACAGCTTAAGGGAGTAACTTTGAAAACCTTAACCTTCGTCGCGCGATTCTCACCTGAGCAAGATTTTTCACTTCATGAAGACTTGGGAAGTGAGTTGAAAACGCGATAAAATCGCGTCCTTCGCTTAAACGAAGACAAATGGCGTTTTCTAATGCAGACATTTGCATCGAATCATCGTCCTCGTCATTGTTGACACCTCTCGGATATCCGTTGTACGATATTGCTGATATCTGAAAGTCGTAAAGAAAAGATTAATTGTGCATGTAACATAGATACTAAAAAGTCATTTTTATGCTTAAAACATGTAATTAACCATAACTTGAATAAAGGACCCCAGAATTTTTCAATAGGCCGACAAGATTCCTAAATGCGAAAGGAAGCAGGCTCAAATTGAATAGTTTTTTTCCAAGCTTCCTACATGTGACAATATCAGTTCTTCAAGTTTATTTTTATGTGATATCTAATTAGTTACAATTTGTCTGAATAAATGAAATAGAAACTCGACTGTGATAGGGGCTTGACATGTAGTTTTTCTTCAAGCCTTATGCTTTGTGCTTTATTTCGTTTTTAAAAATTTCATTACTTTGTGAGAAAAAATCTATCTTTATTTCTATTTATTATGAGTCGTTTTCATCTTCGTAGATTTTAATTTTTGGGCCCAAAAACAGTGCTGCCAAATTTCAAGGAAGGTCGCCTTGTATGTTAGTATGGAAAAGCCAAGCATAGCGCATAGCGGTCAGGGCAAACGGAAAACGACAAAACTGGAATTCTTGCACTCCGCATTCAACCATTTTAACACGTAGTTGTGAGATTAAAAGCAAAAATAAACATGACATAAAATTTTCCAATACATACCTTTAAGGTTTTAGAATCTATCAAGATTGCTCCTTGATGGTTTTTCAAAGCTCTTGTGCTAGCAATGAGGGCCAAGAACAGAAAATAGTGCGTCCATTTGTCCAGTAAGATCTAGAAATCCAAAGCCAAACAGTTGGGGTTACTTAAGAAAATACAGGTTGTGCTCCGATGCCACAACTACTACTCAAAGACTCTGTGGTTAGTTCGGCCATCAGTTATAAAAGGGTTAATATAATTATTTTATAAACTAAAACAACAGAAACGTTACTAGCTTCTAATTTAAAAACTTGGCAGTAGAGATGCAGACGTAAGAATTACAGACCTTGTCCTTTAACTCTCTCGGCCATGGACTTAGTAGATCCTCGCTCCTTAGTTCTTCAGTATTTTCCCTCAAGGCTTTATAGACACCTGTCGGTTCACCCGTTAGGTTCACCCGTTCCAATATGAATCTAACCCTCTGGATCAGGCCGTCCTCAAAGTCTTTCAGTGTTGCATCCTCACCTCGCCTCAGCGGCCTAAAGTGGCGAAATGAGATTTCGCTGTTAATTAACGAAAATGTGAATACGAATATAGGCAAAAGGCTGCAGAGACAGTTTGTGATATCAAGGAAAACTGTTTCCTCCCTTCTATGCATTGTGGTTACGAGCATTATTTAGAGTTTGGTAATAAAATGAAGTTTAGTTAAGCTTTTAATTAAGGGCAAAGCCTACGAAATCTTTGCAGTTCCCATACATTTATCTGACTGTGGGGTGAAAAGATCTTATGTTGATTCCTTAGCATTGTACTACAGATCCGATAGATTGCTTCTTTATTCATTTGTGAGTGTTAACGTTCCTATCACAAATAAATGAAAATTGTTATTCAAAGTTTTTTTTTTTCAGTCTAACAAGAATCATTACTTACGTGACCCAAACATTGGCTGCTTCAAAGAGGGCGCTTGACTCTTCGTATTTGTCTTTAAATGATAGATAGTATACTTTGCGGATACCCTTCTACAGCAGAACAAGAGACGGTCATATTATACTAATATGATATGATACCAATATGATGATTATTCAAACCTTTTGCAGAGAACTGAATTACAGGTTTGTTACAATGAGATTTTGTTAAGGTTGAGAACAGACGTCGGCATTTTCTCAGGCGCCTCTGGCAGCCGCTTCAGTCTATATCGATCTCACCTTCCCACCCATCCCACCCCAGGGAGGGACATCCATCACACAGTAATCTCGTGCGTGGGAAATTAATGTCTCCTACCTCAACCCTGCAGGAGACGGGACCTCCATTTATTCGTCCCTATCCGAGAAGACTAGAATATCTAACCATTTCTTGATGTTATAGAAAGGTAGTAAATTCTTCTCAATTATCTTAAGACTTTGAGTGTTGGTCCGGCCGGGGCTCGAACCCTCGACCTCCCGCACAACAGTCCAGCGCAGTATCCATTGGGTTAACTGGGCGGCAGTTATATCTTAATTATTACTTTTAAACTGAGGGAAACAAAGGCCTTGGCCACACTTATTCGTTTTGAAAATTCTCCGTTTTCATATCGACGAAAACATAGAAAAATATTTCTGCCCACACCAGCGTTTTCGAAGCGTTTTCACTTGTCCATACTAAAACGACCGAAATCGATAAAACGTGTGGGACCTGAGATTTGGCATGCGTGAGAGCAGTCTCGTTCCCCATAAATTTAACTTGTGTTATGCAACTTTTTGTGGCTAATGAGGCCGTTTAACTTCGAAGGCTAAGACACAAAAATATTCAAATCTAAGGTGAAAAAGTCGCACTGAATCAAAGAGAAACGTTTACCAAGGAAGACTTTTAAGGCTAGAACGACGATGAAGTCGAATTGCTTTTAAAAGTCGCCAATGCGTACACAGTTTCGAAGGCCTCAGGAAATATTGATTGGGTGTCGTTTCTTGGACGTCTTTGCAAAACAACGACGTAAAAATCACTAAAAAATGTGCGTGGTCTGAGAACGCAAAGCATTTCGAACTCAACGCTGCTCTATACCTTATGCTCAGAAGTTAAGATGTGGCACTGTAAGAGACGGTAAACACATGTAGCAAGTTCGTAAAATTCTAACTAAATATAGAACTTCATCTTTTAATTCACGTCTTCTTCGACGGTTTCTTCTGTTCGCTTCGGGTACGTATTTAATCCCCTAGGTTTTAAGGGCAAAAGTTTGCTTTCCTACACCTACAATTGACTAGCTGCCGTAACAAGGCTTAGAAGTTAGCTTAGTAAGCCTGCCAGTGGGATAGACTTCAAATAAACTAGCAAAGAAATAAGGCTGGGTATTAAAATTTGTCTTAAAAACTGGTAACTCACGGGCTCTCGCTGATGCAAGCCCAAAACATAGTGCAAGATAAGCCAGCTTTCGAAAATCTTGTGTTGGTGGTTAATTCTTAACTGCTTCACAGAACCATTATCGGAAGATACGAAAACATGAAAAGTATATGAATGCAATAGAACCTTTTCTAATTTCTCATACAGGTTTCAGGATGCCAAGGTCCTCGATTAGCAGCCCCACCTGACAGAAGTTCACTATCTTAACTTTAGTAGATATAGCATTGAAGACGCGCTCGGATTGGCTACTCAAACTCCGAATACACTTTGCTATTCCGAGGTGGCACTTCCGAGCAATTCGTGCGGGATTTGCGTCATAAAATATTGTGGTCCTGTAAAAAATGGGCTAAAATCATGTTTTCGTGCTCTAGTCTCGCTGGTTTGGAACACACTGAAACAGAAAATGTAGGTTTGAATAAGCGTTCCAATTGGCTATTGAAACTCGAAATATCCTTTGCTATTCATTTCCGTGTAACTTCCAGAAGATTTGCACCCGAAAATATTGTAATCGTTTCAGGAATAAATGATTAAATAATGTGTTTTTGTGCAACATTATCTCATTGTTTTAAGTTATGCTAATCTAATACTAGTCGCAGCTCGGTAAATATCCACCACTAGCCATCTCCACTTCAAATATGAATAGATAGCTATACTTTTTTCCCCGAAAACACTTACCGCTATCAGCATTTTCGCGCACTCTTTACACGGATACATTGTTACAAACGCAATTGAACCTTCAAGATCAGTTTGGCCTGTGAGGAGCACAGCATTGGTTTCGGCGTGGACAACAAGATCATCTTTTGTTCTTTTTTCCCAGTTCTTGCTAGTGTTTTCGGTTCCGGGAGGAAATCCATTGTACCCGGTGCTTAAGATCTGCCGAAGGTTAGAGGAAGTTAGTCTGTGAAAGGAAGGGTTCACTTGTCGCAGTTTTCAGTCCAAATTGGTACTATAACACCGGCATAATCTTTAATATAGGCGTCCTGCGACAACGTACACGTTTCTTGTTCCCGTAATGCTCTTTAAGCATGGTAATTTTATTCAGTGTATATTCCCTTACAGACATTACAAACAGTAGCCAACAATATTAGTCACCTTCAGGGATTCTGGATGTACAATAACGCATCCCACTTGCAGGTTTGGGTCTTTCGACCTCATGGAGACACAGAATGCCATATCCCGGTAAAACTCGACCCACGTCGGCCGCTAGCAATGCAAGACAGAGAACTTTAGTATATGAAATTCTATTTTTCTCAGTCTATTTCAAAACTAAAGTGCCATGGAATTCAATGAAAAATCAAGAATTATAATTTTTCTGCTCGTTTGTCGCATATAGATCACTTATCTAAATGGGACAAAGAAAAACTCTGAGGCCGCTCGAATGTGTTCTCTGAAAAGTCAATACTTTTACTATCTACTGCATCGTGATCTTTTACCTTTATTGGTGGGTGATGGACCTTCATTTACTCAGTAATTATCTTTTTACTAATTAATTATCTTTTAATTTTCGAAAGTTGTATGAAGTAGGCAGATACGGATTTCAATTTGCTTAGATAAAACTTTTTTCAACTTAATTTTGTAGCAATTTTTGCATTGCGTTTCATCGCCCGAGCTTTTTCTTTAGGGGAATTTTTCCCCTTCCTCGGCTAAAGGTTTGAAATGTAGTTAGCATTTGGTAATTCAGTAGAGACGATAAGCAGCAAGTCACCAATCAAGTCGAGTTTCCTATAGTAGTGCGTAACCCGTTTTACAGATTATTTTGTGTCACGCAACGGCTTGCTTTGAAGCCACACAGCCCTTGAACTTTTTAATTTCGTTCTTAGAAAATGAAGTGTATGGCCGTTTCATGTGAATTTTTACCTAAAGAAATTTACTGCGTCATTGTTTTAGATTAGTAAAGAAGGTTCCAGTTTCGTCCATTCTCAGTCAAAAGTGATACGGAAGATACCTCCGTGTGAAGAGTAACAGGTAGAGTAACATCTTTTTCCCCATGGGATGCTTACTAAGTCCAACGTAACATTGGTACATACTTAAAAAGGAAAGGGGTTCATACCCATTGTCAACAAACCTTAAGTAACATGAAACAACAGTGAAATCTGGGAAAGAATGAGACCTCTATTGCCAAGTTATCGCTCGAATTCTCAGGATAGATTATCCTAGTCGAGGCAGATAATATTATCATGGACTCTCGATCTGTAGCGAAATGTTTTAATTCCTGTTTTGCTGATGTAACAAATCACGATACGCAGTGTACTATCAATGATGGGCGGTGATCGGTTAATATATGTTTTTTCTCTAAACACAGTTGGCACTGAATACATTATTAAAAACATATTTATTAATCTAGATCCCAGGAAGTCGGTATGGACAACATTTCTTCACACCTACTACGCCTATCTGCGCCGTGCATTACAGATAAAGCTTTCATCACGACTCAGTCAATACCCACTGAATGGAAGAGCAGTGATGTCATCCCTGTGCACAAAAAGAGCAGTAAATCTGAAAAATCTAATTATCAACCCGTTTCTATCTTGACTTCGTTTCCAGCAGTCTTTGAGAAGACTATTTTTGATCAGATGTATACTAAAATAGCTCCTTTGCTTTCTCAATATCTCTTTGAATTTTTAAAGAGTTATTTCTGCTCTAGTGCTTTATCAAAGGTGACAGGGGGCTTGGGTACTAGCCTGGATGCTAAGGATTGCTATTGTTATTTGTCTCAGCAAAGCATTTCATAGTGTGAAGCATAACCTCTCGTTGGTCAAACTAAAACCGCACGGTTTTTAAACTATTGCTCCCAACTTAATTCGTAAGCATTAGAAGGAACAACGCGAAAGGATCAAGATTGAGGGTATGTGTTCCGAATGGGTACGTGTCATGGCAGGTGTCCACCAAGGATCTCTACTTGGTCCATTGTGTTTCAACATATACTTAAACGATATGAGCTAGAGTGTCCTGAAGATGACACTAAGACTATATGCCGATGACACCACTGGATATAATCATGATGTTTCGTATTTACCTCTACGGTTCATGGCAAATGAAAACTTGTCCACGTTGACTACATGGTTCCACCTAAATTACCCTCATGGTATGGTGCAGAGCGATAGACTCGAAGATACTAACCAATATATCTTAAGAACCTTGTTACAGACTATAAATAAAAGCCACAAAACCTTACTGAGTCTTGTAGGCATGAATACTTTGTAACACTTTCGTTATTGCCAAGCTCTGGTGCTAATTTATAAATGCCATAACTCAACAGGTGAATTGTCTGAGTATAAGGGATGTGTCAAGGGATAAGGGAAGTAACTTGGTAGTCCTAGCAAGCTCTGGAATAAGCTACCATTTAACAATTGGTTCATGCTTTAGCGTGCACTATCAAGATATGGAGCACGCGGGAAGTTTGGAGAGCACGAAAGAAGCGTAAGAGTTGCCCGAGGCGATAGCCCGCACTATCAAGATATGGAGCACGTGGGAAGTTTGGAGAGCACGAA